GGATGAATGGAGGGTTTACTACTGGTCGATTCTGAGCTGGAGGCTACAACATACACACTGGAACATATCATGTTGTAGCAAACAGCAACTGAAGTTACAGTATTTCTCGCCATCATAGTTGAGCAGTTTGTTTGAACCTAAGGTAACTGCCAGCAAGGACTTTGATGAATGCATTAGGGCAACTGGTGAGAGTGTCACCACTGGGTGAAGGCAAAGCCTAACCTGGTGATCGTCGTACATGACACCAGGCTTGTTTCATTTCTTGTAAGAACACAGAGATGAAGTTCAAACTGAAGAGTTCAACACAACGACTGCAGACAACCCAAATGCCACAACCGCTGTGGCTTGGAAACAGTAGACTTGTACAAAAATAGACATGGGACTGAAAGACAAGGGCACTTTGAACATAAGATTGAAAATGGGAAACTAACAGTGAAATACTGTATACTATGAATGACACTGATGTAGTATGGATCTATTAGACTGGGGCTTAAATCATCTGTTAAATATCAAAGTTTAAATTTGTTGAGCCTAGACTTGTGTAACAAAATGTACTGAGCTACTGCAAAACATGCTGATAAAGATCTGACATGATTTGAGGGTCTAATTTAAGTTGGGATAATAAATAATAAATAATGCACTGGCATGAAAGGTCTGTAATACCTTGCTTTGTCTGCGTTATCATCTTGAGTGTTTAGGACACTTGACAAACATGATACAAAAAAAAACCCCAACAAATCACAAGAGAAAAAGAAGCCAGCTGATAGAAAATAATGCGTGGTATGAAAGAGGAATGGGGAAAGCAAAGCTAGCGAAAAATGTTTGGAAATCCTTGTCCTCCATATGAGGCATCTTGCCCAACCTCATCTCTAGCTTTCTATTTCTCACCCTCTCTCACTCCATCCTAAAGCGTGACTCAGTTCATTGCCAGCACTGGAGACCAGGATGTCCCAGAGGAATCAGGCAGCAGGGCTGTCTGGAGGAGGATGTCTGTGAAAAAGAGAAAGTGTGTGTGGTGGTGGTTGTGGTGGTGGTGGTTGGAGGGGAGTATGATGGTCTAAGCCAATCCATGGGGGGGTGGAATAAGGCCTCTGCATCTGCCTGTGGTGGTCACACAGTATGTGCGCAAGGGAAGGAGCGGGCGGGGGGGTTTGGTTGCAATAATCACATGACAATCGTGTTAAAAGGATCCTCAAGCCACCACACAGTTCTTAAGCCACACACACACACACACACACACACACACACACACACACACACACACACACACACACACACACACACACACATGCGTGCACACATGCACACACACACTGATCGTCTGTCAGACTTTAATGCAACTATATTGCTTCTGGGAGAGAAACCAGAGAGCTGTTCTGTAGTTCCAAGCTCAGAAGAGCATTTAAGTCTGGCAGAGGAGCAAATATGCTTGATGATGCTGCAATGCAAGGAGAACAGTCGATACAAGCAGACTTAGATAAAAGCTACAGAGGCTTAATATAAACCATTTTGAATACTGGTGAAAGAAACATTAGATTTTTTCCCCTTCGTTGGCCACGCTGCAAGCTCCATTGATCTAAAACATTCAGTTGTGATTCAATTGAGTATATACATATGCATATATATACGTATGTGTGTGTGTTTTTTTTTTATTATTATTAGCAGCCTGCACTTGCTGCTCTCTTGAAAATGTATATCCTCTTTATACTGTCAACATGCCGCCCCAGCCTTTTAAAATGCACAGTAAAGTGAGATAAAGGGTCAAGCCTGAAACATAATGCGGATCAGATCAGAATAATGCAGACATGGCTTCTGCTGTAGATGATGCAAGCAAAAGGTGCTTTGGGGAAATGCATCATGCAATTTCACTAATTTTAATCTCAAACTTTAAGGACCCTATGCTGTCCTGAAATATGTTGATGTGCACCACAGTCTATCCCACAGGCTGTGACTTCATTTTGAATGTCATATCTCCAAGTACGAACCCCTTGCTGTACAGATCTCTCACTCCTTGCCTCCAAGCCACTCCAACCAGATTCTATTTTTGACTAAAACGCCCAAATCCTATGGACTGCAGGATCAGCATTTCCTCTGTTATGGGGACAAATCACTCGATCCTGGATGGCAGGAGACAATACCTTCTGTAGCCCACTAATCAGACCCCCACTGGGAGTGTGTGTGTGTGTGTCAGTGTGTGTTTTTCACGCACTTATCTGCATACACAGCCCCTGTTCAGAATCATACAAAACCCCCCACAGCCAATGAGGGATTGAGGAAAGGAGGTGGAGGACAGAGTGGGGGGAAAGAGGAAGGTGAGGGCAAAATCCTTTCATTTTTCTGGCTTTTAGTTAAGTGAACCACCTCTTACTAGCAAGGATACAAAGTTGATTTCCTCTCACTTGAGCAAAATTCTCCTCTGCTGTGAGAGTATTAACACTGTTATCCCTTTTTTCCCTTTTGAATTTTACCCAGTTCAAGGGCAAAGCGACAAAGCAGTCCGCTGTGGCAAATCCATCCAGCTGAAGAGAATGACAGAGTGAGGCAGAGAAAGAGAGAAGTGAGGTAAGTCTGCATCAAGTTACAGGATGTGTGAAGCCAGTGTCTTTCACATGACGACTGGATCGTGACAATGCGAAGACACTTAGTGCTGCTCCCACGGGGCGACTCAAAGTACCACATCTGGGACATGCTCGCCGTTACACTCAGGAAGTCACAACATTTTCCTACAACATAGCTTGGATTCAATCTATAGCCAGAATAATCACACCTCCTAAAGTCTCTGCTGTATCTCCTAGGTCAGTCCCAAGTAAAGTATCTGTTAGTTTAAGGTAAAATGAAGAAGACTTGGGTGTTTAATATGAGCAGCAATACCTATTGTGTCTGAACAAAACGAGAAACATGCCACTTATAGGCAACTGCCCTAAAAAAGTACATATTTGATGAAAATTCAGTTAAAAACTGAATCTGACATCTGTATTGTTCCTGAAAACGTATGAAAATAGCTTTTTTTAAATTTGCAGAGTAACAGCCAAGTAGACAAAGCAAGATAGCTAGCTGCTGTATATCAAGTGAAAGCTAGCTGGGGAGAATGACAGCTAAAACCCGCCTTAGCTAAAGCTAAAAGTAAATTATTTATGCAGATGTTTTCCTCATAGCTCTTGTCTGTAATTGCAAAAATGTTTTCTGAATTTAATGGACATAAATATAGGTAGGCCTAATTCAGTTTGTTATTTGTTATTTCACATAACCGCTAATTAAATGAGGCTGGTCAAGGAATAAACCCAAACTAAAGCTAACTAGCTTAGCAGAGTATCAGGAGCTAGTCAAATTAATATGATTCGGTGTCGTTATGCTACTTTTAATTAAAATTTTAAATGTGTTAATTTATAAATAGATTTTTTCAAATGATCTTATATAACAACAACAAAACAGAGACACTTTAATTCCTATTAATTATTGTCCTTAAATAGTCAGTTCATTTACTTAAACAATACAGTGGATAAGAAAGCTGAATTTGTTAGATAGATGTTAGATGATAGACTGTTTTTCCGCCTAAAGATGCATAAAATGAAACCATTACATCTGCTTCAACTTTACTGCCTCTGTAGATAACTATCTCTGCATTTGGAGGACAGAAACTTAAACTTCAGCAACAGAGCATCCACAGAAAAACACATTAAAGTACATCCCACAATCCAGTGAGCACTTTGAGCAAATACACTGCCAAAAAATATTTACCACTTTAAAGCAAGTTATTGATCCTACACATAGACAGATAGGCTCCCCATTAGGCTGTGGTGCTCCCATCTGGAAAGAAAACTCCTCTTTGTGGATGTGAATGAGATGAAATTCAGATTAAAATAACCATTCAGTTACACAGCACAACACAGCATAAAAGTTTTGCTGTAAAGTGTTTATCTAGGCTTTGTTTTGCTCTGGGTCCCCTGGGAGCCACTCAAGGACCCCGCTTCAGAATCTGCAGTTTTAAAACACGCGGGATTTGGCAGCCGTACGTGAACTAAAGACCTTAGAAAATAAGAAATAGGCCATGGTTTTGGAAACACAAGGGAAGACGGTAGGAGACGAATCACACAGAGAGCAAAACAAAATACAGACAATATGTGCCGAAGTGATCCAGCTGTGATTTAATGTCACAAACTACAGACATTAAATTATACTTTTCCTCACAGCTTCCACTGTAACTTTTCCTGCTTGTTAAACCACTGGCAACAATGTGCCTGCTGAAATGCCCTTGAGTAAAACAATTCATCCCTACAGCTCCAGAGCCTATACTGTAATGCATTGTACCTAACCCTGACTTCTGACCTCTGTGGGTGGAGGGAGCACACATCCCCCTGCACATCTGGAAGACTCAGGTATGAAATCAACACTGACAGTCAAGGAGCTGCTGTTGGAGAGAAATGTATGTCATCCATGCGTTGGCTCGTTTTGTTCATGCATGAGTGCTTCACAGCAGCTTCAGGGGCACAATCACCATCGCAGATCATGTCCTGAGAAAACTGAACCCCGTGTGCATGTTAAAGTATCTTGTTTGATTTATTCCGTGCATACAGATCCGATTAGAGGCCCTCACCACATAGCCTATAGAATAGGAGTGACTCTACAAGTTTTGAGATCATATAGGATATTTAGGGGTGGGTTGGGGGGTGAAGGGGTGGGGGTGGGGTTCCTGCACTCAGAATGAATTGAAAAGAATGTCATTAGTTATCATCAAGATGCCTGGAAGGAAAGGTTACCTGAAAATACTGGTTTCCTCGTGCTTTACTCTCTGGATTTGGGATAAAAATCTGTTTGTTTTCGCTGATCTTTCTCTCAGACGCACAAGGGAAGTTCACCTGAGGTGGTAAAACTGATTTCACAGGCAAGGTCAAGAACCGCTCACAGGTCTTACCAGATAAAGTGACGGTATAAAGTAACGAGTACAATGGTACTTTTTGCGTTGCGAGTCCAGCACCGATCCAGGGCGCGCAGTGTCTTACCTTGCGCTGCGACGAGCACCAGCAGGAGCACGTTTGTTAGTTTCCCGGGGAAATTCATCGATTCATCGACGCTTGGAGACGCTCCCTGCGGATAAAAGATGATGCTGATGAGGGAAGTCTTGTCAGTAACCCACTACAGGCGTCTGCGAAGCCTCAAGATTAGAGCAACATTTTTCCTTTGCGCTCCGGAGCGTGGAGAGGTTGGACTCGCGGTGCGCCCTCCCGACATGGACAACTTCTGCACGTACCGCCTCCCTCCTCCCTCCGTCCGTCCCCGAGTCCCACACTCCCACCCACTCACCCACGGGCAAAACTCAGCGACCTGACTCACAGTGACTCACAGGTGATAAGTTTGGAATAATGAAATGGTTTTCAGCCATGGCTCTAACCGGTTCTGCCAGTTCCACTGCAAAAATATCCATCTTAACAAGTAATTTATTCTCATGTTCACCTATCTATCTATCTATCTATCTATCTATCTATCTATCTATCTATCTATCTATCTATCTATCTATTTGTTTGTCTGCACACAGTTTGAGAAAATTGTGTAAAAACATTTCTCTGAAAAAAAAGTTTAACTACAGTATCTCTAACCCAAATAATTATCCCCACATTTACTCAATATAGCTGTTGAGAAAGATGCAGCACACACACCTACCCACACACACACACACAAACACACACACAAACACACACACACAAGATCACATATTTTCAGTGCTGAGCTGTAAATGACCTATTTAGTCACTTAATTGATTTTGTACGCATAACAATGTGCAGGCAGCTTAAAGCATTAGCTGCTCTATAATAGAGTCTCGAAGGCTACACTGTCTGCCCAGTTCAAATAATGGAAAGCTATTAAAGCATAGCAACACTGCATGGAATTGCACTGGAACTATTATTCAAGTATCAAGTATATATTATAGTATTCAAGCCCAGACTGATTACTATATCGTCTTTAACATCATCTTTAAAGATAAAAAAAAGGCAGTAGTAATGTGGTTTTAAACATCATATGTTTCAGGTGAGGTAAATATTCAAATTCCTTTCTTTCACTGAAACATCTTTATTTATTTTTTAGCTCTGTCCTTTGTAAATATAAAGGAGCTTTTACCCCATCACTGGGAAAAAACAAATATGCATCAAAATATCTTCTTTGTTTGAAATTTCTAAAATTCATCTTTTGTAAAACTGAGTCAGACAAGCACTGTGTGTTGTTTTAGAAGTCAACAAATAACAGGATGATCAGAAATAGCTTTTAGTTGATTTGTCCCTTAATATTTCATGAATTCAAACATGCGTGCGTGCATGAACAGAACCTGCATGAATGTATGTGTGCATATACATGTTTTAATATTCAGCAGCATAAGATGTTTTTGTATCTGTCCTGCCGCAATATTCACCCCTCCTAACCTACTTACCTGGCCCAGAAACTACCACTACCTGTATATCTGCTTCTAACATGGAGTTAATTATATATACATATACATATACATATATATATATATATATATATATATATATACATATATATATGCACACATACACACACACACACACACACACACACACACACACACACACACACACACACACACACACACACATATCTTACACACACTTATTATATACATGAACACCTGTGTGGGAGATCAAAAAGAAATGACTTTTGAGAGATTATTTTTCTTATTTTGCTTCATACAGAGCAACATATATGAAATTGTTGAGGACAAACACTTTTATCATGTTAAACACAGGTTATTGTATGTTTTCCTCCTGCAGACTCCCACTGCTCTTATAATATGAAAACTGTACCAGTGTATCTGGATGGAATGTGTGCAGCAAGACTTGTAAGATTTGTAAAAGTACAGATTGCCTAGCATGTTAGCAGCCGGCAGGTCAAGAGCCAAGAGGCTGAAGGCAGGTGGAGCTGCTCGGTCCTCAGTTCAGTTAGCTCTGTCGTTGGGGAGTGAAGTTGACTGAGGTTGTTGTTCAGGCTCGGAAGGGAAAAGCTGCGGTGATTAACTGCTGCACATGGGCCGGTGGGAACTGGCAGGGGAGACAGAAAGTGAAGTATAAACAGAGGTTTGATGGGAGAGAGAAGAGGCAGAGAGGGCGTGATCAGTGAAATTAAAGGGATATGGACGGCTAATAAAGAAATACATTTAGATTGGCTGATGGTGAAATGTTAATTGATGTAGTAAGAAGAGAAGAGAAGAGAAGAGAAGAGAAGAGAAGAGAAGAGAAGAGAAGAGAAGCAATTTTGGCTGCCTGATGTGCTCCAGTGTGACAGAGCCAGTGAATCTATTTGCAGAAATGTATTTTTTGACTCAGCAAGATGAAGAGAAAAGCTGAGGACGAGTCTCCACCCACCGGTCCGGACTGGGGAGAAACAGGAGGTCTTTTCTTTTTGTCTGTCGTTCACACTCTGTAGTTCTTTTTCTCCCTTTCTCCAGTTTTTCTGTCTCTTTTCCTGTTGCAGCTTTTCTCTCCATCCTTTTTTTTACCAACACTTTAATCACAGTAAGTCCACTCCCAAAGGTCACATGAGAGATACTGCCCGCAAGATAGTGATGGACATTTTTAAAGAAGCCCTTATGACATTTAACACTAAAAAACAAACATTTGGAGGTGTTTTCCCACAGCATTGAGCTTTGAAGATAAAAGGTCAACCAGTGACCTTTGTCATTCATTGGATATTTTTCCCTTTAATTATATAACTATATGTTATAAGGGCCAGAGTGACCAAGCTTTGTCTTTGATTTTTTTCCATTATATACTAGTTTTAAAATCTTAATATTTACAAGTCTCAGGAACGTACAGAGGGCATTAAAACTTTTCTGACTTTCTGATGTTGTTGCTAGAGACAGATGTTTTATTGTTGAAATATGCACTGTGTGTACAAAATATTTGCATCTTCATTGTCCTGTTTAGTTTCAAGCAACTTTTGGAGAACCTACATCTTAAATGTCTTAAAGCTGAAAAGTTCCTGTGCTCAACTCATCTGCTTCTAATCTGCATGTCTTATGTGATAAGCTTCAATTTAATTAGGGAATTAAAGAGGCTTTACTGGGAATCAAAAGCCTCAAGGAATAGAGCAAGTGTCCCTAATAGTTTGTACAAACTATTGTGCCACTGTATGAATTGTAATAATTGTGTTTTTAAAAATGATATCAGCTTTAATACAGCAGATGGATGACAAGGACTGGATTCAAGCATTGTTTTGTGTGTGTACACATTTATCAACACATGTATGCACCTACGTTAGATCCAGCAGAGAAAGAAAGTGAGAAGGAGATAAGGTGTGTGAAAAGTGTGATTTCAAACAGGCAGAGCATCTGCAGCGATGCAGGAGTTAGTCAGGTTCACAGGAGGAGAATATTGCCCTGTAGTGTCACAGTCAGTCTGCTGGTGTTTTGGCACCATCTCCAACCGAGGTGACATCCCCAGCACTGCTTACTCTCTAACAGGGCAGGCGAACAGAGAAAAACACTCTCTTACCATCCTGCTGCTTTTCGCTCTGTCACCTCTCTCTCTTTTTTGTCCGCTGTCCCGTGTCTTTCCCTGTACGATCACACAGCCAGATGCACTGTTGAGTAACAGCAGGCATCTGGTTGGACAGCTCAGACAAAGCAGAAGGACCTCCCGGGCCCGATGGAGACAGCAAAGCAAAAGGAAAAGGGCAAGTGTACTTGCAACAGTGTGTGTCAGACAGGACTGTCCTGGCTCATCCACATCAACCTTGTGCACTGTTGTTCCCTCCTTAACTGAATCTGTTTCAGTATTATCTCTTTATTTTCATCCTCTCCACCTTTCTCTAACACTTCAATCACACTTTTTCCTGCGTTTGATGTCTCATCTTCATGGATCATACAATGCCCTCTTGTTTGATTCTTTCCTCTCTGCCTAAACGCTCAGATATGTCTGTCTTCTGTTGAAATGTAAGCAATGTTTTGTTTTCTATAATAGACCTTTTTCACGGCAGACATTTCATACAGACAGATTATATTACTACCTGCTGCACTGTATTAATTGCTGGACCAGAGCACTTTTTAATGTTATTCATTCCACCTGTGTTATGACAGGTCAAAATCTCTGCTGTGAAAAAGGTCTATTAAATGAGAATATATTAAAGGCCCCAAGAAAGGGACGGGTGAATGAATTGCTTTATTAGGAGAGTTTAAAACTGCAGGATATAAAAGAGCAGAGCACAAGTGGGTTTAGTCTTTCCATGTCTACTTAAGTGCACTATTAGTTCTTGGTCACACACTCACTCACACTGATGAGTGTCTGCCTTTAGTCAACCTGTAGTCTGACGTTGCAGCAAACCTGATCCTTAATCTGTATTATTGAACAGGTTGTGTCTGTGGCTAATTTAGCATCAACTTAACCCTTTAATATGCAGTTGTCCCATGTTATTCCCTTTCAGTAGATGCATTTATCACTATTAAGTATTTTGTAATATGTATTTAACTCTGCAGTCCGCCTCATTTTTATGGAGCGTTTTAGTGATATTCAGCTCATTGTTTTGGTTCTGCGCTCATCAACCTTGTTTCCAGGTGTTCACAGTGAAAAAGCTCTAATAAACCCACTGTACCCTACCTATACAGCCTGTTCATGTCTCCTAAATTGCATCTGTATACAGCTAATTTGCAACAGCAAATATATTTTGAAGGAAATGCAATGTTCTCTATTTACATGGTGAGGGAAATGTAGTTCATTGACATACTGTATCTTGCAGGTCACAAGATGTTGATACTGAACGTGACTAATAAGGTATTTTATTTGTATTCTGCCAAAATAGCCAATTTTGGAGTACCATTTGCACTTGTAGTGACTACAGCATTATTAAACGTTCCCTCACAGCACTCACACGCAGGTTGGAAAAAGATGAATTATTTAAAAGAACTGACTGGTGCTCCATTTTTGGTCATAGACAAAATGTAGACATGACAAAATGTAATCTCAAAGTTCAAAACGGAGAGGACGTGTGCTCCTGACCTCTCACCATCTTCCACTTTAACCCCATCTCAACAGTTTAGCCTTCTCCCCATGAATCCCCGTCTTCCTTCTGCTCCATCTAATCCTACCACTCCGCTGTCGCCACCCTCCGCCAACCCCCTTTTTTTAAAAGCTCTCAGC